TGTGTGTGTCCTGTGATGGATTGATTAGATTGTGTTTCCCTCCCTTGCCCAGTGCATTGTGGGGTATACTCCAGGCCACTGCAGATGTCCTCACCAGGGATAAGGGGTTAGATATGGATAGATAGATAGATGGATGGATGAGAGGATACATAGGCATTGAGAGTTAACTGGTGTGTCGGTATCTGTCGAGGGATGGTGGCGGAGTGTTTTGTCTTTTTTTTGCCCAGTCTGACCTCTGCCCCTCCTCCTCAGGGCCTGTTCAGGCGCAAGGTGTCGATTGCCAACATGCTGGCGTGGAGCAGCGAGCCCATCCGGAAACCGATGATCGTGACGACGGACCGCGCGGTGAAGAAGGAGGCGGTGGAGATCTTCAAGCTGATCCAGATGTACATGGGGGACCGGCGGTCGCGCAGCGAGCCCCTGGCCGTGGCGCTGGAGGTGGTGGGGAAGGGCTGGAGCTGCCAGGGCCTGCGGGACGAGCTGTACATCCAGCTGTGCCGCCAGACCACCGAGAACTTCCGCTACGACAGCCTGGAGCGCGGCTGGGAGCTGATGGCCGTCTGCTTGTTCTTCTTCCCTCCGACCCCGCGCTTCCACTCCTACCTGGAGGGGTACATCTACCGGCATATGGACCCCCTCAATGACACCAAGGGTGAGCGGAGCGGGGCGGGGCAAGGGGAGGGTGGGATGGTGTACGAGAGGGACAGGGATACGATCGGGAGGGGAGGGGTTGCGTGGCAAGAGGCGGGTCTATAGTGGGGAATGGGCGACACCCGGGTGGAGGTGGGCGGTGCTAATATGAAAAGGGGGCGGCACCATGGTACGGAGTGGGGCGTGGTTAAGAAGCAAAGGGGAGGGGTTAGGGTGTGGAGAGGCGGGTCTGTGGTGTGGAATGGGTGGCACCTGTGTGGAGGTGGGCGGTGTTAATATGGAGAGGGCGTGCTATCGCCATAGTGTGGAGCGGGTGGGCTAATATAGTGAGGGGAGGGGTTTTGTTTGGGAGGGGCGGGTTCATGGTGGGGAAGGGGCGTCACCTGGGTGGAGGTGAGCAGTCCTTATATTGAGAGGAGGCTGCACCATAGTGTGGAGGGGGGGGATAAGATTTGGAGGGGAGGGGTTTGGGTAGGTGGAGGCGGGATTCTGTATGGGAGGGCTTGGACACTTCTTTGGGATCCAGAGGGTTTATGGTTTATGACCATGACATGATCAGTGCAGCATTTGGTTTCCTTGAGAGGGGCAGGTTTAGGGTGGTGAGGGGATGTTGATTAGACGGGAAGGGGTTAGATTGGGGCAGGTATAAGGATCTGGCAGTTGCCGATAGCCCAGTGCAGTGGTCACCATCCCTGTTCCTGGAGACCTACCATCCTGTAGGTTTTAACTCAAACTCTTAGCAAAGCACGGTGGTCCTCAGTGAGCTGCAATAAGCAGGAGTCAGATGTGTCACATTGAGGTCAGACTGAAAACCAGCAGGATGGTAGGTCCCCAGGGTTGGTGAACGACCAATGGTGTAGATGGGCTCAGCGATGTCATTACACACCTGATTCCAATAACTGACTCTCATTTTGCCAAAAACATTGATTAGTGGAATCAGGTGTGTATCTGATTGGGTGTAATGAAACTTTGCACCCTTACCGGCCCTTTCTGGATGAGAATGAGCACCCTTGGGCTTGGGTGCTGGAGAGAGTCACACAGGGCTGGAGTTTCTAGCCCCCAGTGCAGTAGAAAATGAGATCAGAGCTGCTGTCGAGTTCTTGAGCAATCACAATATATATATATATATATATATATATACAGTGCCTGACAAAAGTCTTGTTACTTATCCAAGTTGTAGGAACAACAAATAATAACCTGACTTGTAGTTGATCAGTTGGAATCAAAAATGGCTTATATGAAAGGCAAAGCCCTCTAGATTATGCGAAAAATAACAAAATAGAGTTTTGTGTCATTGATTGAGTTTTATAATTTAATTTGTACAGAAAGGTCAGATTTTGCTTGGACAAAAGTCTTGTCGCATTGAAAAAAAATTTGGAAATTATACATACACTTTATGTTGAATACACAAATATGCCACTATAATATCAGAATATAAAGCCATGGTGCCTTGGAAAGAAGAATTAATATTGCGTATGACTCCCATGAGCTTGGAGGACTGCATCCATACGTCTTGGCAATGACTGAGATAACTTGATGATGAAATCATCTGGAATGGCATAGAGAGCAGTCTTGCAGGACTCCCAGAGTTCATCAAGATTCTATGGTTTCATCTTCCAAGCCTCCTCCTTCATCTTACCCCTGAAATGCTCAATAATGTTCATGTCAGGTGACTGGGTTGGCCAATCCTGGAGTACCTTCACCTTCTTCGCTTTCAGGAACTGACATGGAGGCAGAAGTATGAGAAAGAGCAGCAGTATAAGTAGGGCAGCAAGAACTTCTTGATATTTCAGGCTGTTGATGTTGCCATCCACTCTGCAGATCTTTCTCACACCCCCATGCTGGATGTAACAACAAACCATGATTTTTCCTCCACCAAACATGATTGTTTTCTGGGAGAATCTTGCGTCCATGAGGGTTCCAACAGGTCTTGTACGGCGACTGGGATGCAGTTCAATGGATGATTCACCAGTAAATAAACTTTCAGCCACTTTTCCAGTATCAATCCTTTCTGCGAGCTGTGGGCCTTGGCAAATGCAATGCAGGTTTTTTGTTTTCTATTTAATGCAGGCTTCTGTATACTAATTCGGCTATGAAAACCACTTTGAGAGAGAATTTGACAAACTCTTCTTGTAGATACCGGGATTTTTGGTGACATTTCCTCATGTAGCTTTGCTGTAGTTGAAGAAGGGCTAGCCTTGTACAGTTGAAGCAACAAACGGTCCTTTCAAACAGTTGTCATACCGGGGTCTGTCTGACCTGCGCTTGCCATGAACGTCACCAGTTTCTTCAAATCTTTTTCTCATCCCCTTCTCTTGACATTTGGATACATTAAAGATGTCTGCCACCTCAGCAGCAGACTCAGTCTTCAGGCTCTTGATGATCAGCACTTTGGTCTGTGGTTGAATCTTTGGTATGTTGTCAGAGGTCTAGTCGCACCTCATATGAAAGTCTGGTGTGCTGGGGTTATTTCTATACACATCTGGGAATGTGTTAATTACAGTATTTGTCATAGGTTAAACTCTAATCTGCGATTTGTTGCATCATCCGAAGAGACGACAAGACTTTCGTCCTAGCAAAAACAGATGTTATGGGCTTAGCCAAGCTGTGAACATCAGAACACTTTTTGACGGTTTCATTTTGCACCAAATTATTATTGTGAAAGCCCTTGACATTAAAATGGACCATTTATTGTAACAATTGATTGGTTAGAAATAAAGTTATATGCTATTTTTAGTTACTATGTCCTTATGTGACAAGACATTTGTCAGGCACTGTATATATATATATTTTTTTTAGGGGGGGATTGTTCCCCACTTGTCCCTCCTTGACCTCTGCCACAGTGTTTCGTTGCAATGATCTGCCGTGACTTTCGTGGCGGTCAGCCCTCACTTCCTTTACATGACCTATGCAGTCAGAGGATAGTTCTGTCAGTGCGTAATAACCTTGCGCAGTGATATACGCTTGGCTGACCAGGAGTGGCCACTAGAGGGCAATGACACTGACAGATTTATCCCCAGCGAGGCTCATCCTATTGTTGTTTCGCTCATGCAGACTCCCAGCCATAGCCTGTAATGCAGTGGCTGGGAGATTTCTCAATCTCATAGCCATTTCACCACTGTTTTTTTTTGCTGGGGCTTAGGCATTGTTTAGCACATGGCTAAGCTAATTGTTTTGTATGAAATTTCCTGGGGCTAAGCTAGCGTGCTCAGGAGCAGGGCTAGAACCGCAGTTACAGGGCCAACATTCTAGGTGTGCAGCATCTCCTTAGCCCAATGACTAGGCTAGGCCCCGCGCTATTGAATGCCTGGGGTTATCACAAGCAGGGGGTAATAGGGTCTGTATCTGCTTCACCAGGTGTTTGCCAGTGTTTTCCTGTAAGGTTATGGATGCACAGCTTAGCATGAACAGGCTACGCATCACACAGGCATCACTGCACTTTGGACAGCCCACCAGCAGGTGGCAGCATATTTGCGCTGCCTATACTCATAGAGTACCCCAGTGCTGTGCGTGCTTCTCTGTGCTTCTCTGTGCATTGTCATTCCAATCATTTCTGTTACCCCCCTCACCTGTTCCTCGCATTCTTCCCTCACTAATTGGCTCCAATAAATGGACGGCATAAGGAAAAGACTTGATTTAAAGATGTTAGGATGGATATGTGAATTCACTTCGCTCATTAAAGTGTCAGTTTCAATTACAGATGTGGAGTATCTAGCGAAGCGGATCCGATGCTAAATCATTCGCCACATGTCCCAAAAAATACTAAGGACTGGCTAAGCAAATACACAATCTTTGAGAGTCAGTCTTCTCTCGAGCGCATTCAGAGGTGGCTGCAACTTTCCTGCCATCTTGTTTGCAGGGGGTGGAATTAATATACGGGATAATGCAAGCATTTCTGTCAATCGGAAATGGAGGCGCAGTTGTCAGCCCATTTCGAAGGCCTCAAAATGTCTGAGGTTTATTGTTTCAATCGGCTAGCCTGTATAGAGGTATGACACAAGCGTTTTCAGTGTATGATGTGATGGATTATTGCCTCAATTAGCTGTTTGATGTTGTGCTGTCTGTGAGTGTGTAATTTGATGGTGTTGCATTTCAACAGTGGGTAGCATGTATGCTGTGTTTACAGTGTGTAAATTGACTTTTTTGTATCACTGTGGTAGCAGCGTTATTTCTTAATGTGTTGTTTTATCAGCGTGTAATTTCACTGTGTCATGTGTCATTGTTGTATTTACCTCATTAAATTTCATGATGTGTAGTGTTGAGGCGTTTGCAGTATGGGATTTGATGGTATGTAGTTTTGATGTGTTAGCAATGTGTGGTTTTATGCTATGTAGTTTTGATGTGTTAGCGGCACAGTGGTGCAGTGGTTAGCACTGTCGCCTCACAGCAAAAATGTTGTGGGTTCGAACCTGGCCTGGGGCCTTTCCGTGTGGAGTTTGCATGTTCTCCCCGTGTTCGCGTGGGTTTCCTCTGGGTATTCTGGTTTCCCCCACCCACAAAAACATCCATTATAGGAACACTCCTACCAGTACCTCTGACCAAGGAACTGGCTTAGAACTGGAGTTGGTCCCCGGGCGCTGCTCTGTGGCTGCCCACTGCTCATAACTATAGGATGGGTCAAATGCAGAGGACAAATTACCCCACGGCGTTCAATAAAGTGTATCTTAATCTAGCAGTGTGTAATTTGATGGTTTGTAGTTTTGCTGTATTAGCATTGTGTGATTTCACGGTGTAGTTTTGATGTACTAGTAATGTGCGATTAGATGGTGTGTAGTTTTGCTGTGGAGGCAAAGTATTATTTGATTGTGTAGTTTTGAAATGTTAGCAATATGTGATTTGATGGTGTAGTTTTGACATGTTAGAAATGTGTAATTCGATAATGTTTCGTTTTGATCTGTTAGCAATATGTGATTTGATGGTCCACAGTTCTGATTTGTTAGCAATGCGTGATTTGATGGTGTAGTTTTGATGTGTTATCATTGTGTGATTTGATGGTGCATAGTTTTGATGTGTTAGCATCTAAACTCATTTGTGGTGTGTAATTTGATCCTGTATTATGTTGACTTGTTTGTTATGTGTATTTTCACGCTGTCATATTGATGAATTTGCAGCTTGTCATTTGACGGAGTGTAGTACTGCGTTTGCAGTGTGTAATTTAATGATGTGTGGTTCGACGTGCTCACAGTGCAAAAATTAGCGTTAGTGTGTCGTGTTGACGTGTTCGCAGCACATAATTGAATGATGTATCATGTGTACAGTGGGGGAGCAGTGTGTACTGGACAGTGTGCATGTTGTTTGTGTGTAATGTGATGGTGTGCATGTTGTCTGTGCGTAATTTGGCGATGTTCACGTGTTCACAGTGATGCAGCACATTAGCGAGCTCCTGGCAGCCCGGGACCAGAGGAAAGCCAAACTGCGGCGCAAGGGCAGACCCCCTGGGGATCCAGCCGAGGGTAGGGCGCCCCCTGTCTGCAGGGCGGATAAAGTCCCTCAGGCTGCTGTGTGCCTGTCGCACTCTGCCTCCCGCTCATGCTCTCTTCAGCCTGTTAGCCTGTTAGCGCTCCGCTCGGCTGCTGCTGCGCTAAGCTAACCCCATCATACTGCCTTATCCTCTCTGTCTCTGCTCTCTCTCTTTCTCTGTCTTTCACTCCCTCTCTTTTGTTTGTCTTTCCCTCTCTTTCTTTCAATCTCTGTCTTAATTTTTGCATTTCTCTCACTCGATTGAATTCTGCGCCCTTCCTCTGTTGTGTGATTATGTACTGTGCGTGTGCCTTCATGAATCTGCAGTGTACGTGTTTGTGTGTATGTGTGAGTGTGTGTGAGTTGTTTTTCATACTTTTTAGGACTAAAAGTCCCCACGAGTATAGGACAGTCTGCAAAAAACAGCACCATAGAGAAATTTATTGGCTGCACATGAGGGAAGGGCTTAATTTTGGCCAAGGGCAAGGTTTAAGTCTTGGGTTACAATTGAGTTTACGGTTAAGACTCTGTCTAGTTTGTGTGAGTGTGTGAGTGTGTGTGTGTGTGTGTGTGTGTGCATGTGTGTGTGTGCTCTGCAGAAGCCTCTATGTCTGGATCTCATGGGAGGTTTAGCTTGTTTTTTTCTGAATTACCACCCAAAGCTCCTCTGGCCAGTAACTGAAGCATCTCTTTCAAAGGAAAAATAAAATAAAACGGAACTCAATTATGTCAGCCAGTTGCTGTTCACACATTCACTGCGTGTGAGTGGCTCTCAGCTAACGTTCAAACAAGACCGTTAAACATGACCTCGGCACATCAGGGCGGTCCTTCAACATTCCTGTGAGCTGTGTTTTGCTGTGCTGTGATGTACTGTGCTAGGCTGTATCTGACCATGTCTGACTGTGCTTGACTGTGCTATGATACCAGACGGGCAGCCTGTAGCCTGGAGGTTAATCCCCTTGACTCGGTCCCACAAGGGTGGTGGCTCAAGTCCCAGAGCAGCTGCTGTGTATCCCGCATTACTCTGGGGGTGTGGATTGCCCCAGGCTTAACTCCTTTATGCAGAAGCCAGATCAGGCAATTTGTGCATTTATCTGACCTAAAGTTGCATAATTTGAGATTTAAGTGTTACAGTGAGTTCAAAAATAACATCAATGAAACTAGACACTTGTGCAATTTAGAATACCAATTTCATAATTTCATATTTTCATAATTTTACTACTGAATAAAGGCCGCAAACACAAGGGATCGTCAAGGGAATTCAACGTTGAAGTTGTAAAAAAAAATACTGAGAATTGAAAAATGGCTCACAGGTAAACCATTACAATCCCAAGATTATAAACTCCTTGACCACAAATGGTTTACATTTGAGCATGATATTCATAATTTCCAACTACCCAGGAGCCAAATCGGAGTGCTCTCCAAGTGGCTTCCCAAAAAGCTCCGAATGGTGCACAGTGAAACAATAAAATAATCATATTTCACCCCAAACCAATGGTTTTAATCCATCATGTTCAATATGATTTAATGATTTTTAAGTGGGAATTAGCAGGAGTCCACCAATTGGTGGGGATGGAGATCAATGGTCTCCAAAAACTCTCCAAACCCAAAAAATATTTTTTCTCCATTATAAATTATTGAAATTTATCTATTTTTCTGCAGAGCCCCTTTAGTCAGCACACATACTCATTAAAATAAAACAGCAACAAAAAAAACAGCTTATTTTATGGTCAGGATGTTTACCCTGCGAGGAAGCTGTGCTGTTATCACCTCCTGTGATGTGGACAAGGGGTTTGACTTTAGGAGGCAGGCAAAATGAAGAAAAAAAAAGTGAAAACTATTTTCAAGGAACGCTCAGTCCTGGAGTGCCCCACTCCACCGTACGTCATGCCAATCTGACCTGCTAGTATTCACCTTGCACATTGCACACACGTGTACGGACAGCAAACTTGTCTAAACACTTTTATAAATGCAGGTCGCCACACAGAGCAATATGCCACTATATTCAGTACTATTAGCAAAGGCTAACGATTAGTGATAATGACCAATGTGAGCAATTACCTACAACAGTATCATAATCATAGCAGCAGTAGAAAACAGAAACACTAAATGTCGAGCTGAAAAACTGAAATATTCCAAATCATAATACTTACGCATCGAGAATTAAGACTCGCTATGATAATGCAGACGTCCTCTTCCAGAGAATCAATGCGGTCAGGCTCAGAAAACCCTCCAGTCCTGTCCCTTTTGGACTCACTATTGATGTCCACGTCTGTAAATCGGTATACAGCTGTTCCACCTCGTGAAAGTAATGTGAACACTATTTAGGCTACATATAGTTGCGTGTCAAGGGTTTATATCATACGCTTTTTGGAGGCCCAATCAATTTCTTTAAATTACGGTCGGAAACTTCATAGTGTCAGTTAACAGATAATGACCAGGAATGTTTCATGTGGGTATGAACGACAGTTGGGCTTTTACGCAGTACGACGACAGCAGGTACTAATCAGGCTTTATATCCTGGAGAGATTGTTTCAGGCGATTACTGATCACTGAATCTTGCGAGAGATGTTTCTCCATGTAAATCAATGGTAGGTAATATGTTTCTTTTTCATTTCTGATCTTTATAATGGACAGTAGAATGTCTTAGTATCAATACCATGTTGAATTTTTGCTTCAGAAAGCAGATCTATATCAGTGGTAAATTGCCATAGCTTTGGGCTATTGTGGCTTTAGGTTGCTGCTAAGATGGAAACCTAATTATTTTGTAGTGAAAGTTAATTTTTATCAACTGCTGGATAGATGCTATTAGCAAATATCTTAGGCTGCTGATCAGTCTTTGTTGAGGAGCTTAATTCATACAATTGTTGGGCAACAGTGGTTGAACTTAACACGTCCATATTCTAAATCGTTTACAGATACCAGTTCCTTGCACATGTTCAATATAAATTTTGCGTGTACCCGATATTGTTAGGATACTGCGACTGAGTGCATCAACTGAGCAGTTCCACAAATATTAGTGTCTACGTCTGTGCAAAAGGATTAATGTAATCAACTGTAAGTCACTTTGGATAACAGACTGAGCTATATAACTGTAATGAATAAGTAATAATGATGACCTACACTACTGTGATGGAGGCTGAGGATTAGTGAGCTCTACAGCTGGTAAAGCCAGAGTCCGCCATCAGTCATACACTCGCATGAACCAATCATATAAGTTTTTTTTTTTTTTGTAAGGAGGTGTCTGCATTGCATCATTAGCAGACGATCTCATCCACAGTAACATACCTTACAAAGTGTAACAGCAGTACAAAAACAGCTGCAAACTTTTGAGAAGGGTAATGCTCCAAGCGTTAGATGTAACCACGGAGATCGATAAAACATCCGCAGACAAGCATAAGCGTGATATACATTGTTTTAACCCACACATTCTCATCCTGACTCGTCATATAGTGACGCTACCTGACCAAGCGTCAATATACGATGAAAAAGGAGACTTTTGGCGTCCTTATTTGGCGCTTAGGTTTAGGGTTCAGGTTAAGGGTTAGGGGTGAGGGGGCGGGGTTTGTTTTAAACTGGCGTCAAATAAGCTGACCAAAAGCCTCCTTTTTCATCTTATATCAACTCTTGGTCAGGTAGCGTCACTATGTGACGAGTCAGGATGAGACTGCGCTCTTTTAACTGCCAAAAACAAATGAGAATGCGGAGGTTTTCCGCCTGGACAGGCTACGAGCCAACAGTTTGAATGAGGACCCAGGAGGACCAGGACTTGCCCTGTGGACTCTGTGTGTTTAACACCAGGCCTTACACTGGCAAAGACAACCAGGGAATCAGCATCACGCTGGTTATATTCTGTCAGACTCAGCTGAGTATATCTCTTGCTGAGGCTGCTTCTGTCCATGGTCCTGAAACCTGACTGGGGAATTGGAGAAAGTTCTGACAGCAGCCAATCAGGGTTAGAG